GCACGCGGCCGTTTTTACTTATGCAACGAGTGGTCTCAGCAGGCCTAGGCTATATGCCGCGTTTCGTTACCGGGCCTAATGGCGGGTCTTACCGTAGCTTCGCTTCCCAAACTACGGTGGGCACTGTGTAATATTTGCCAATCCTAGGTCGTCCCTCTGTGGGGGCGGTACTACGCCCGAGGTCGTCTTTTCATAAAGGGATAAGTCCTTTTCCCCATAATGGGAGGAGTTGTACGTCGATGCACGGGCAGATATTGTTTTATGACCTGCGTAGTGGCAACTATGGCTTCCTAAGCATGATTCAACACGAGGTAATCTCCTCCTGGAAACGTGAAGCACACCCATAGAGCTCTTGAACGACGGGTTCCTAGGTTGTGGTCGCACTCGACCAATTTGGTTGAGTTGTGCGACTTTTGTTCTTGTTGCATCGTGTTTCGCCGAAGTACAGTGGGTATGCCATTAGGTCCATGACATTGTACTCCATATAATACTCCAAGGTCCGGAATTTGATAAGATCCACCACGATGTACTCCGTCTGTACGGTGTACATCTACAGTTAGACTTCGCTAAAAAAGCGCAGTCAAAATATTGACCAATCACCGCAATCGCATAGTGTCACCGACCAGCGAACTGCGCCTCCCGAATTGGGTGCGATTTCAAAGTGCGAGCGTCGCCAACCAGCCCGCATGTGCGTTCTCGTGAAATCCCCATGAATTGCGTTCGGAATTGCCCAGCCAATACGCGCGCGCCATGGCGATGCTACGTAATCGCGACGGACCTGGGGAGCGAACACAGAATCACAGACAGCCCGCTAGTACCCCCGTCCAGCAGGCAATTTTGCATGCGCGCTGGCATGAGCATGCCTACGTACCCCCTCAGTTGAGGAGGCTGACAAAGGTCGTATTTACACTCCGCCACATCAGCGGCTAAACAGCGACCAAACTACGTTACCTGCCTCACTCAAGTTGTCAAAATGAGGTTACTCAGGAGAACATCGCTGACGATTGCGATGAAAGTCGGAATTTGCCGACATGCTGAAGCGCATTCACACCTTCGCCTCGCCGACATCGCTCGGTGGTGTTTCACCAGATACGGTATTTATCCCGACCCCAGCACTGTGGGGAAAATCCTCAAGGAGGCGGACAAGTGGAAGGCACTTGGGCCAGAGAGCTCCGCCACTCGACGTCTGCGTTCTGCCTTCTACCCCCTGCTTGAGCAGCGGCTGAAGTCATGGTTGGGCCGGGCGGCAAAGGGTGGGCTGCCAATCACCATCAACGTCATCGAGCAACGAGCCAGGATTATGGCTCCTGACGCCGGAGTGCCAGTTGGATTTAAAGCGAGCGTCGGATGGGGGCAGAAAGCATTGAAGCGGATGGGTTACAAGTGGCGGACCAGGCAGGGCGAAGCTAACGACAAGGACTTCGGCGCAGTGATGACGACGAAGGCCACATGCCTGCAGTTGCTCACTATGCTCGCCGTCGCGCCTCGCGACTGCTTCAACTACGACGAGAGTGGATGCGCCTGGAAACAAATTCCGAAGATGACATTCGCAGATGGCCCTGTGAGTGGCGGCAAAAACAGGAAGGACCGCCTGACTGTCGCGCTGATGTGCAACGCCGACGGCTCGTAGATGTACAAGCCGCTTGTGGTGAGCAAAACCGCCAATCCGCGCTGCTTCGCACAGAAGAAATTCAATCCTGCGACGAAGTGCTTTTGGCGCAGCAACGGTTCCGGCTGGATGACAAGCCAGGTAAGCGATATTTTAAACGTAATGCGTGTTATTTGCGACTGCGTCGTTGTTGCTGTTGCTTGTGGTGCCCGCTTTTTCCCATACGTTACAACATCTTATTCGAAAATTTCCTAACTTTCCCGCCGCAGTTGTTCACGGAATACATCGAGCACATAAACGCGTGCTGTTTCACCGAGGGACGCAGCATCGTCATCCTGCTGGACAACACTAGCTGCCACAACCTTCTGTCTCCGCTCGCCACATCGGCTGACATCCTCGGGTTCCGAACACGCGCGCTGAGCAACGTGCGTCTTGTGTTTCTCCCGCCAAACACTACGTGCTTCACGCAACCGCTGGACCAGGGGCTCATCGCGACAATGAAGGCTCGGTATAGGACGTACCATACAGTCGACATGTTCCGCGAATGGGACGAATTTCAGAGCGAGGGAATGTTGTTGCAATATAAGCCCGACATGGAGCAGGTCGTAACATGGCTGTCGGACGCGTGGTTCTCGATCGAGCCCGAGATCGTCCAGGTGGCGGACGGGTATTCTCCCTGCTAGCTGGCTCGCCAGACTCCCCCTGGTCGGCACCACCGTCGCTGAGCAAGACCATGATTTGCCTGCAGAGTTCACAGCAGTCGCAGCGAATCTGGAACGGCTGCCATGGGCCGACGAGGACCGCATGGATGCGGTCCAGTTCGTCACATGCGACAGCGACGACGACATATGCGATCCTTGTGGCGAGGACCCCCTCGCTTCGGAACCTCTGGGAATTCCCGCGAACGGCGCATGGTATCTCCGTGCACCGGAAATAACGCAGCCAGTTCGAGATTCGCGTAATCGCCGGCATCTTAGCCGCATGGCGACAATGATGCTGGTCGGTTATGCGCGGTCCATCGGGCTCATCCCGAGGGACCTCCGCATTCTCTTCGACATTCGGGACCCGTCTGTGATTGAGCGTCTTGAACGCGCATCCCCGCGCCTGGACCTGAACTCTGCTCCAGGGGTTGTTTCGGAAGAGTACAGGCAGCATGTGCTGCAGGCGACGGCCGTCATGGACGGCTGGGTGGACTCGGCTGAGTGGATGCGCTGAGAGAGCACTGGATTCCTTCCCGACGTGTGTGTTTTTCAATTGCGCTTGCTTCGGGAGTGTGCTTACTTTTGCTGGGTCGGGCGTGTTTGATTACCCTTCTTTAGTTTAGTTGTGCGCTTGAGAGTTTTGTTGTTGCTCGGTTGTGTTGCCGCGTCACTCTGTGTGTGAATGCTGATGTGTCGTTTTTTGGTTTTCTGAGTGGGTTTGAGTGATTCAGTCTAGTTGGACACTTTGTTGTGTGTGTTCGAATCTGTTTTATGCAACGGGGTTTGAAATCCGACGTGTCTCTCTTAGAAACTTAGGACTCAAGGTTCTTAAACTTAGGAGGCTAGGTTGGCTAGAATACTAGGAAGAAGGCCGCCATGGAATGGCGTGAGGAAAACGGATCTAGGAAGGGAGAGAATGTTGAGAAGAAAAAGGTGTTGGATTAGGAAGAGAGAGGAGTACAAGAAGGGGTTTGTACCCTCTACAGAAAGGTTCAGTAACAACCTACCAAGCCTATATTAAATTATAACTTATATAATTTTAACACACCCCCTAGGCTTGGTAGTGTCAAGCCCACACACACCCCCACACCCACACCCACACCCACACCCCCTAGCCCAGCACCCCCATTCCCAGCAGGAGCCGCAACGACTCCGGAAGAGGGTAGGTCTCACGGCCCCTTGAGACGGCAATGGCGACAGCAGCGACAGTGACGACGGCGGCGGCGGCGGCGGTGTGCGGCGGCTCCAGGCCTGCGGCAACAGCGGCGGCGCCGGCGGCTCGAACGACAGAGGCTGGTGCGGCGGCCCCCGCCCTCTCGGCGGCATGTCCTGTCTCCTCGGCGGTGGAGAGGTCCCTCACATGGCAGTCATCGGCTGCAGCAAGAAAGGGGGGGATGCAGGGGAAGCAGGTGCAGGTTGGGGGGGGAGGGGAGGGGGCGGGGCGAGGCGAGTCTTCAGCGACGCGCCATAAATGGCGCGGCGCTTACTGGCGGGAGGACGTCGTCCTGAGGGACGCCCGTCTGTGGCGAGCGGGCGGCAGGCCCGGCGACGCCACAGACGTCGCTCGGCCGGCCGCAGCCCGACGGTGCCGTCGGCTGCCGCAGACGCCGCCACAGCGCACCGTCAATGTCGCAGCGGCGAGGCGGACGAGCGACGGCTGCACCAAGGGGCCGTCGCGACACCTTGGCGCCGCGACGGTAGGCAACGAGGGACCGTCGCGACATCTTGGTGCCGCGACGGCAGGCAACAAGGGGCCGTCGCGACATCCTGGCGCCGCGACGGCAGGCAACAAGGGGCCGTCGCGACAGCTTGGCGCCGCGACGGCAGGCAACAAGGGGCCGTCGCGACAACTTAGTGCCGCGACGGCAGGCAGGCAGAAAACCGCGAAGGCTGCGAATGCAGTAGGAGTACGCAACGGGAACGTAGGGAGAGGGTCCGGTGGACACGACCGGCTCTGATACCATCTTAGAAACTTAGGACTCAAGGTTCTTAAACTTAGGAGGCTAGGTTGGCTAGAATACTAGGAAGAAGGCCGCCATGGAATGGCGTGAGGAAAACGGATCTAGGAAGGGAGAGAATGTTGAGAAGAAAAAGGTGTTGGATTAGGAAGAGAGAGGAGTACAAGAAGGGGTTTGTACCCTCTACAGAAAGGTTCAGTAACAACCTACCAAGCCTATATTAAATTATAACTTATATAATTTTAACAGTCTCTTGGTAACTCAAATCGTCGCAGCATTGGACAGGGCACCCTTCTATGAACATAACATAACAGACAAGTCACTCCGACCCCCATGTTCACTCGTTAGTCCAGTTTGCCTCTACCGTACGGGCCCTATTCGACTTAGTCGATATCTGCGAGTCGCAGATTTGGAGCATAGAGCATACCCCCTGTAGTGTAATCGCAACGTGCATCGTGGCCCTCTTGCTTTGTTTCGAACTGTCGCAACACCCTTCTTTTCATTTCGTTTGGTGCATAGTGCTGCAGTCTGGGTCGTTTATTCTGACCCCCAAAAAGCAAGTTTTTAAGAGCGCCCAGGGTGTGCTTTTTTAGTCTGTGGCTTTAAGATGGGAATGAACAGCGTTGATATAAAAAATATATACCTACTGTGGTTCGAGATTCCTCTCTGCAATAACGCGGATCCTCTCGGCAATCCCGAGATTCTTCTTTTTCCACCCTCGCCTAGTAGCTCCCCCCCGCTCTCCTCGCTTTGATCGAACGTGTCATTACACGTACGCCGTCAACTCTCTCCATTTTGCACGAGAGCAGTTACCTCTCCTCCGCCGCTGACGCCGTCTCGTCTAGAATCCCGCGACTTCGCCGCTCGCTGCTTCTTTATGGAGCGTCCCGATAGTGGCAAAATCGAGTCTCCGGAAAGCCCGTTCAGGCCGAATGCTCTCCAAGGGAAAGTCGCCTTGATAACCGGTGAGCTGTTCAGTGTACGCTTTTGAATCGACTCAAAATCGCGTTGATTGCCGGTGATCTATTCAGAATACGCTTCTGACGTCAGCAAGGAGATTGACTGTGCTAGTACCCATGTCACTTTTCAGGTGGTGGTTCGGGAATAGGCTTGGAGATCTCGAAGCAGTTCGGCAGGCACGGCGCCAGGCTTGCGATCATGGGTCGGAGAGAGGCCGTGCTGCGAGCAGCGGCAGACGAGCTGGCTAAGGAAGGGATCGAGGCGTTGCCTGTTACTGGGGACGTGAGGCGGAAGGAGGATGGTCAGAGCGCTGTGGCTGCTGTTATGGCGAGATACGGCCGCCTGGACGTGCTTGTCAATGGCGCTGCTGGAAACTTCCTGGCAGCTGCAGAGGACCTGTCAGTGAACGGCTTCAGAACAGGTAAAGGTTTGGATTGTCAGCGACCTCTCCTCTTCCTTGGGATGAAGGGTCGTAGGGGAGAGGCGGTGCTATGAGTAGCAGCGGACGAGCTGGCGAAGGAGGGAACCGAGGCGTTGCCTGTTACTGGGGACGTGAGGCGGAAGGAGGATGCGCAGCGCGCTGTGGCTGCTGTTGTGACGAGATACGGCCGCCTGGACGTGCTTGTCAATGGCGCAGCGGGAGACTTCCTGGCAGCTGTTGAAGAGCTCTCAGTAAACGGCTTTCGAACAGGTAGCAACAACTGAGGCTTGTTCTCCTCTGTTCAATTCGCTCCTTCTCTCTCTTCCCTCACCCTCTCCCCCCTCCCTCCCCCCCCCCCCCCTTCCCTTCCTAATTCTCCAGGAAAAAAAAAAAAAAAAAAAAAAAAAAACTCAGGTTTTTCTGCACCTTCTTCATCACCTCTCTGGTTACCCTATCCCTCCAGTCCTTGATATAGACGACTTGGGCACCTTTCAAGATGTGCCTGGTCGCAAGATTGTCGCCCGTCACATCCCTCTGTACCCTTTCTTCTCAACTCTCTCCTTCACCTTTCCTTCCCCCCCTGTCCTGTCCAGTCTTGGACATAGACGCTGTGGGCACCTTCAACATGTGCCTGGCTGCTCGGCCATTCCTGCAACAAGGAGCACAGGGTAGGGCGGAGGGAGAGTGTGGCGGATCCATTATAAACATCAGCGCTACTCTGCACTACACTGCTGCTTGGTACCAAGTGCACGTTATGGCTGCTAAGGTGAGTGCGTATGTGCTAGCGTGATGTGAATCAGATGGACTACAGCTTCAGATATATATAGATATATATACACACACACACATATATATATATATATGTATATATGTATGTGTGGTGTCCTGTCACTTCTTGAAGAATCCTCATTTCTCCCCTAAGTCAATCCTCCCACTCTCCCGTCCTCCCAACACCCCCCCTCCCTTCACTTTCCAGCTCCCGGTCCTCAGCACTGGAGTGGGCAACAGACTACGGCTTTTTTTCAGTCCACTAAAAAACACCTAGACTGGGTCACTGGGGCAACAGACTATGGCAGGGTAACCAACACAATCAAATCGTAGGTAACATTTTTTATCCCCCCTGTGCCCCCACCCCTAATGAGGCTGCAGTGGATGCCACCACCCACTCCTTGGCACTGGAGTGGGCAACGGACTATGGCATCCGAACCAATATGGTTGAAGGCGCCTCAAAGCGCAGCTTTCTGCGACCCAAACCCCTTCCCCTGCCTGTGCCCGGCATCCCGATCCCCTTCCCCTGCCTGTGCCCGGCTTCTCAATCCCCTTCGCCCCGTGCCCCCATCCCCTACCAGGCTGCAGTGGATGCCACCACCCGCTCCTTAGCTCTGGAATGGGCAACTGACTATGGCATCCGAACCAACGCAATAGCTCCGGGGCCGATAGGGTCGACGCCAGGCATGGCGAAGCTGGCTCCGTCTGAGCTGGGGATCGACGCTGGGGAATTCAACCCGATGCAGCGGATGGGGGATGCGTGGGACATCGCCATGGCTGCTGTCTACCTCACTGCCGACACTGGTGGGTCATTCTTGAGGGGTTGGGGGGTCTTCTGGGTCCATACGTACAGGCAGGCTATTCTTGTGGGGGAGTTCAACCGGATGCAGCGGATGGGGGAAATGGGACATCGCCATGGCTGCTGCGTACCTCGCTGCTGACACTGGTGAGTCATTCAGAGACGTCCGTGCCATCTCACAACCATTCCCACACCCTGGTGACTTTTGAGAAGACAGGAAAGGCCACCCCTTACCCCCCACACCCCCCCCTCAAGCTCTTTTCGTGAAGCATCATTCTCTCTCCCCAATCCCCCCACGCAGCAGGAAAGTTCGCCAATGGCGCCAACTTGGTTGGTGCTGGGCGGAGGGGGGGGGGTTACTATACAGACCTCCCGGCACCATGCCTGCCCCCCACCCTTTTGCCTGCCAGGGAAGTAGGTCAACGGGGCAACCCTGGTGGTTAATATAGGGGGCTGGTTGTATCAGCTTTAACACACCACGACCCTCGGTAACCCCCCCTCCCACCCCCCCAACCTCCACCATCTCCTTCCAACTCCCCGCCCTCCCCCCCACCTTTGCCTGCTAGGGAAGTATGTTAGTGGCGCCACCCTGATGGTGGACGGAGGGGGCTGGCTGGCTGTGTCATGGGCAGTGGAGAGCGCTGGCGTTGACTTTTGAGTCGACTCAAAGGTCACCTGGCTGGATGTGTCATGGGCAGTGGAGAGCGCTGGCGTTGACTTAAAGCACACCTTCCTCTCCCCCTACCCCCCCCCCCCCTGCAGGGAAGTATGTCAACGGGGCGACCCTGGTGGTGGACGGCGGCGGCTGGCTGTATCGGCCGCGTGTCTTTGACAGGGAGGTCATACAGGAGGTGTCTCGGGCGGTGGAGAGGCGATCCAGGAAGGCTGCACCTGGTGCAGGCGCACCTGCTTCTGGAGGGCAACAAAGGAGCAAGCTTTGAGAAATTGGATGGTGGTCAGAGTTTATCGCAGCAGTGCAGCAAAAGAAACCATTCGTAGTCTAGGGACAGCCATGACATGACATACTATTACCGAATGATTGTTGGTGGATTGTTTCTTGTGTATGATATCTAGTATGGTGATATAGTGTGTGATGTGTCTAAGTAATGAAATTGACGTCCTTTTTTAGGTTTGATTGTTAATAGGTGTGGGGAATATGGTATGACTCTTAGGATGTCATGTTACTCAGTTTTGTACAAAATGTAAATAGGACCGATGAGACTTTGGGGGGGGACGTAACGCATTTGGAAAGGGTGCTCTGCTTGTTCGAAAGATGAAACACAGACGTGGCGCACGAGGAGTGGTGGAAAACTCTTTGTGTTGTCAGAACGGTCGAAATTGTGTCGTCTCGAGCTGCTGATACGGTACCTTCTCCCCATCCCGCCATTCCCAAGGACCATGTCGTTTCATATGTGGTATTCCAAAGGCTCCCCAAGTGCCTGAAACCGCTCTGCACCACACCAGCTGACGTTGAGAGACAAGAAGCATTCTGTGGAGGATTCTTGATGTTTCTGCTGGCACCTGACGAAATGTTTCGGATTCCTAGCCTAACTGGAGAGTCATCTCTAGACTCTAGACTATTCTTGGCTCTCATTTCCAGTCGTCATGAACTCTAGAGCCGCTGGCTTGTAGAAAAGCAGCAATCAAAAGTCATGAAGACATTTCCGCTTTCCATGCGGAAAACTACATCCGAAGAATACTAAGGCTCTTGTCTCAGCTGTCAGTTGCGAAAGGCACCTGGCTCGTGGCTCGTGGCTCGTGTTCCTGAAGTACGCTGTCTCGAAGTTTGAAGCCTCGAAAGGCAGTACCCAATCTTGGTAGGGTTGCAATCAGGCTGACAATAGAAGGCCATCCTATTGTGAAGCTCCTCGTGGACATCTTTACCAGAACTACAACGCATAGCGATATAGTATGACGCGCTATTGTAACAGCATCATGGATCGACTCTCCATTCTTACAATCCCTCGCTAGGCAGCTCAACCCCTCATGCCACGTGGCACGAACGGTCCAGATGGATCGAGGAGCTCAAACGCCAATGGCGTCACTCCAGTTGGCGTTGATGACACCGGATCGACGAGACCCTCTCGTCTCATGGCAGCTACGCTCCAGATCCTCACTCTCGCCTCGCTCTCCCTTCTTAGACCGTGCTGGCTTCACCTCCCTTACATTCTCTCCTGCAGCTGGTGGCTCGCGTCTCGACCCCAACTATTACACTTAAGACCGTTCAGGTGAATCTCCATTCAGATCCTCACTCTCACCCGGCTCCCCCGTCTTAGACTGTGCTGGCTCTATTTTTCCTTCCATTCTCGTCTGCTGCTGGTGGCTCGCGTCTCGACCCCAACTGTTGCACCTAAGACCGTTCAGGTGAACTTCCTCTCAGATCCTCACTCTCGCGTCGCTCTCCCTTCTTAGACCGTGCTGGTTCTATTGTCCTTTATGCCGAAACTGATGTAGTTTAAGTTAATCACCCTAGATTCAGTTTGTTATCGCTTCCCTTTGCATCTCCCCCTCCCCCCATCCCTCAGGCGCCATGCTCCACATCATGTCTAGCTTCCTCTTCTTCACCCCTCCTCTCCCTTCCTCCCCCTACTACCCCCCCCCCCCCTTCCTTCCCTCCGTTCCCTTGCATCCCTCAGGCGCCATGCTCCACATCACACCTGGCTTCCTCTTCTTCACCCCTCCCCTCCCCTTTTTCCCCGCCCCTTCTCTCCGTTCCCTTGCATGTCTCAGGCGCTTTACTCCGCGACTACACCGCTCTGCACGTCCTCCCCCTCATTTTCTCCCAGCTGCCTCGCTGTCCCACAGCTAACTTCCTCTCAAAACCCTTCTCTTCCGCTCCTCTCCCTTTCCCTGTTCCCTAGCATGCCTCAGGCACCACGCCTTACTCTGCGCCTACATCGCTCTGCACATCCTCCTCCTCTTTCACTTCCACCTCTCTCTCTTCGTCTCATGCCTTCCTTTCCCTTTCCGCTCCCGCTCCCGCTCCCCTCCCATTCTGCTCGTTCCTGTGCATGTCTCGGGCGTCGTGTTCTGCTCCGCACCTACACTGCTTTGCACATCCTCGCCTTGTTTCTCTTCCAGCTCCTTATTTGTCCCACACCGTTCCTCCCTCTTCCCCTCGTCCCCCCACTCCCACTCAGGCGCCGTGCTCTACTCCGCGCCTACATTGCTCTGCACATCCTCGCCTTGTCTCTCTTCCAGCTGCCCCTGCGTCTCACACCTTGCTTCCCTCGACTTTCCTCTCCCCTCCCCGTCTCCCCGTTCCCTTGCATCTTTCAGGCGCCGTGCCTTACTCCGCACCTACATCGCTTTTCACATCCTCGCCTTGATTCTCTTCCAGCTGCCCCTCTCACGAGAATGGCGGCTGCTTGTGCAATGGGGGCAGACACTTGGCCTCTTCCTATTGGACGTGAGGGAGATTCTGGACCCCCTGCAGGTGCTGCATGTGCTGGAAACGGCTCTGCTTCTCTCCTCCTTCGCATTGGTGAGTGAATATGAACCCTTCATGGAGGGTCTATGACCTGCCTCTTCATATGAGGCGTGAGGGAGATCTGGATCCCCTGCAGGTGCTGCATGTGCTAGAACGGCGCTTCTGCTCTCCGCCTTTGCACTGGTGAGCGAATGTGAACCCTTCATGGTGGGTCTATGATCTGCCTGCCTCTTCCTATGAGGCGTGAGGGAGATTCTGGACCCCCTGCATGTGCTGCATGTGTTGGAACGGCGCTTCTGCTCTCCGCGTTTGCATTGATGAGGTTACCGCTTTTCCCACTCCTCTCACTCTGCTTTTCCAATATTGCATACCTTTTCGCTTCTCCAACTGTTCCTCTTCCCTCTGAGTTCCCACGCCCCGATCTAACTTGCCCCTCTCGGCCTCTGTTTCTGTCCTTGCTCCTCCGCCCCTCTCCAACCTCCCTCCTTCTTGTACGGATTCTTCCACCCTATCCCACTCCAGCTATCTCCCAGCCATCCCTCCCTCACGTCCTCCCATCGTTCTCCCCGCAATCGACCATCCTCATACCCAACCACATACCAAGCTCCATTCCCGGACCGGCAACCACGCCCCAGCTCAGGGCCCTCGCATTCCTCCCAACCCTCTGGCTGGCTCGGGCCGAACCTGCCTTCTCTAGCCTCGGAAGCATCCCAGCTGCTGTATCTGGTGGTTGAGGAGGAGGAAGAGGAGGATGCGGCTGGGGAGGGGGAGGGGGAGGAGGAGGTTGGGAAGGAGGAGGGGTTGGAACTGGAGCAGCAGGAGGAGATAGCGAGGAGAGTATTAGCAGCTAGAGTGGGGGGGTTGGGAGCGGGAGGAGTGCAGTGGAGGAGAGCGCAGAAGAGAGGGGAGGGTGAGAGCAGGGAGCAGCAGGGAGGGGAGAAAGAGAGGAATTGGGGGCGAGAAAGGGATGTGCCAACAGGGCATGTGAGAGCAAGCAGTGGTGGTGGTAATAGTACCTTGGCATCTGAGGCGACAATGCCGTTGAGAGGAGTGGCAGATGCTGAGGATGAGAATGAGAAGAGACTCAGGCGCCAGTTTACTGCCTTGTCTTGGTGAGCCGAGCTCCTTGTTTTGTCACTAACAGTGCCGACAGAAAGGAGTTCTCTGCCTTGTTCTGCCTTCTCGTCCCCCCACCCTTTTTTCGTTTCCGGTGCCTGCAATGCAACCTTGCTAAACCCGAAACCCTGACTCCTTGTGTTGATTGTTTTTTTTCTCCTGGTAATGTCTGTTGCGCCTGCGCCCTTCCTTCTGCACATCCTATTATCCGATGCTATGGAGGCATCTCTTTCTTCCATGTGGATTCCTTTCTGTTCCTCTTCTCACCTCTGCTGCCAATGCAACCCTTCATTCTCTATGGCCAAACGAGTTGATTTTTTTTATTTTTATTTTTTCTAAACACCACCTCTTCACGCCACTGCTGCCAGTGCACCCCTTTCATTCTCTATAGCCCGAACCAGCACATGCATCGTTTGCATCACATGCGTCCTCACTGTCTCTCACTCTCAAACCCCTATCAACCCCTCTCAACCCCTCTCCCCACCCCAGTCACCCACAGCGCAGGGAGAGTGCGTCAGGACGTTCCGCACCCCTGGTCTTATCTCCCCACCCCCCCCCCCCCCGTTCTAACTTCTCTCCCCCAACCCCTATCTTCCAACCACTATCCCCCAACCTCTCTCCCCCAACCCCTACCCCCCAACCCCTGTCCCCCAACCCCTATCCCCCAACCCCTGTCCCCCAACCTCTCCCCCAACCCCTACTCCCCAATCCCTGTCCCCCAACCCCTGTTCCCCAACCCCTATCCCTTAACCCCTGGCCCCCGACCTCTCTCCCCCAACCCCTGTCCCCCAACCTCTCTCCCCCAGGTCCTACACATCCCAACGAGTGTGTACCAGGTCATCCCTCTGTCAATGCTTTCCGCTTCTCTTGTATCCCCACGCACCCCTCTCCATCTCTCCCAACCCCTCTCTCCCCCAGGTCATCCACATCCCAGCGAGTGGGTGCCACCCTGGTTGTTTTCGGCCCCGCCATCTGCACGGCATCGCTTGTCCTCTTCTGCCTCTCCTTCCAGTGCCTCCTCGCCTGGCCTATCCTCGCATCCCTCGTCCTCCTTCTCGTCTCCCCCCCCTCTACAACCGCCCTCTGCTACACCCACCGCTGCTTCCTTCGCTACCTGCTCGTATGGCTTGTGGCTTCTTACTTCGTCAATATCACACCCGCACCAGACCTTCCCTTTGTAAGCCCTCTTGTTACTCGGCCTCTCCGTCACTCCGATGCTGCTTCCTGCTCTATCTGCTCATGTGGCTTCTTGCATCTTACCTCGCTAATATCACACCTGCTCCAGTCCAGACCTTCCCTTCGTAATTCTGCCCATCTCCTGCTCATTTCACACACTCACTCCTGCCCCTTGTACGATCACATCCTCATTTAATTTGCTGCCTCTCATCTATCTTCACAGCCTTGTATCCTCAGCACCCTACATAATCCCGCCCTACATAATCACACACTTATGGATGTTACTGCATCTACCTCCACCGTCAGTTTCCCCCCCTCTGGCCTCCCATATATTCTCCTCCTTGATTTCGCCGTTTCATCTCTCTCCCCCTTTCCCTCGCCCCTCCAGCCCACCTTCTTGCAAGCCATTGGTCTGCTCCGCTTCCCCAATCCAACCCTTCCCCTCGCTCTCCACTTCACCATGGCACTCCTGTCAACGGCCTATGTCTTCGCTTGCACTGCCACCCTTGCCTCCTCCTCTCCCTCCTCCCCTTACTCTTCCTCCCCCGCGCACTTGTCACTTCCCCATGCTACTACTGTCGGTGGTCGAGTTGGTGCTGATGGGGATGCTGGTAGTGGTGCAGCTTACAGTGAGTCTGCTGGTGATGGTGGTAGCAGCAGCGAGGTTCGCAGTGGTCTTCTCGATGGTGTTGCTGGTGGTGGCAGTGGCAGTCAGACAACTGCTGGGCTAGCACAGGACAGTGGGGAGATGGTGTTTGGCATCCCAACACAGGGCAGTGGAGCTGAGACTATGGCAGTGCCGGCACAGGGCTGGCTCTGCTTCGTGGTGTCCTTCTCCCTCTGGGCCGCCCGCCTCTTCGCCTTCTCTGCTTTCATCCTCCTCGTGCTCGTCCACGTGGCTGACAAGCTGGCCCTCCTACGCGCCCCGTATGGTATGTAGCATGGGATATGGCATGTGGCATGCTGTATGGTATGTAGCATGCCACACGCACACCGTGCCTGCTCAGGGCTGCCTCTGCCTGCTCAGGGCTGCCTCTGCTTGCTCTTCGTCTTGTTTGCTTTTGTCCTGCTCGTGCTCGTCCATGCTGCTGATAAGCTGGCCCTCCTGAGCGCTCCTTACGGTACGTGTCAATGCACGTGTTGGTGGCAGACTTTTGAGGCGCCTCAGAAGTCGTCTCTTTACGGTATGTGTCAATGCACGTGTTGGTGGCAGACCGCCGCCTGTGGCAGAACGTGGTTGCCTTTTGCCTTTGAGTCGACTCAAGCGTCACCTTGTCAATGCCGGTGTTGGTGGTAGACTGCCTCTGCCAGGACGTGGTTGCCTTTAGCTTATGTCCGTGCTTTGTCCTCCTCTGCTTCTGCTACCGTTGCTGCTGCTGGTGGTTCTTCTACTGGTGGTTCTTCTGCTGGTTGACCCAACTCGTGTGCATTTCTGGTGGTTCTCTCCACACTATCTCCACACTATCTAGTGGAGAGATAGTGTGGAGAGGAAGTGGTGAGATAGTATGAGAGAGATAGTGTAGGAGAGTGGAGAGATAGTGGAGAGATAGTGTGTGAGATAGTATAGGAGAGATAGTGTGGGAGAGTGGAAAGATAGCGAAGAGATAGTGTGGGAGAATGGAGAGATAGTGTGGTGAAATAGTGTGGGAGAGATAGTGGAGAGATAGTGTGGGAGAGTGGAGAGATTGTGTGGGAGATTTGCGAGATAGTGTGGGAGATAGTGGAGAGATAGTGTGAGAGATAGTGTGTGAGATAGTGTAGGATAGTGTGAGAGTGAAGATAGTGTGGGAGAGTGGAGAGATAGTGTGGATAGTGTGATAGATAGTGTGATAGTGTGGGATAGTGATAGTGTGGGATAGTGTGAGATAATGGAAAGATAGTGGAGAGATAGTGTGAGAGATAGTGTGGGATCGTGGAGATAGTGGAGAGATAGTGTAGGATAGTGGAGATAGTGGAGAGATAGTGTGGGAGATTCGAGAGATAGTGTGTGAGATAGTGTGGAGAGATAGTGTTGAGAGAGTGGAGAGATAGTGGAGAGATAGTGAGGGATAGTGGAGAGATAGTGTGGGAGAGATAGTGTGGGTGAATGGAGAGATAGTATGGATAGTGTGAGATAGTGGAGAGACACCCTCACGCTGACTGAAGCCTCTAGCAACGTAGCGCGCTTTGAACACCGGTGGCTCTCCAGGAGGGCGCTTCATATTGAAAAGCCACCGGCCATCAACTATGTTCACCCTAGGTGGGGGAACTGCATCGACGTAGGTGCCAGTGGATCTCAAAGATGCCATCTCTTGGACCGCTGGTGGGTTCTTGATCTAGGGGTGTTGGCGTGACATGAGACACACCAAACGGGGCAGGACGGGAAGGGATGGGAGCAGGCGCTACCGGGGGAGTGGGGACCAAGAACAGGGGCAGGGAAACCGAAAGACCTCGGTGGGGAAAGCAAGTGTAGAAGGAGACAGACTCGTCAAAAGTGACATCGCGAGAGTGAAAGAAACTGTGAGACGGCGGGTGGTAAAAGTGCCAGTCAGACCCGTCGAGGGGGAAGCCAAGGAAGACACAAGGGACAGTTTGGGAGGTAAGCTTGTCCGTGCCAGAGGCACGAACGTGAGCGAGGCAGCCCTAGACGTGGGACGTTGATGCGTCACCAGGGGACCCGGTCCAGAGAAGGGTCGGCGAAACCTGCGGCCGCTAGAAGTGCGGCCACAGGCTAAGCTGGTGAGCCGCATAGCAAACAACGAACGACCACAGAAAATGGTGTGCACCGGCACCTGGTGGTCTCTTCATTAGTCCACCTGATCGTCTGCTGCTCGTTGTGCATCTAACGTATCACCCTGACCATCTTCTCTCCCCCTATTCTCTTCCCAGTGCTGCTGCTCGTGCTGCTGCTGGTCTGCCCCTCGCGATCGCAGGCTGTGTATTCAGCCTGCACTTGCAACTGCCCCTCGCTGCACCTGCTGCTGCTTGAGTAGGGCAAACGAAGGAAGAGCTTGACATGTACATACCTCCACTCCACACCCCCCCTCGCCCTCCCCCCGCCCCCCCCAATTCTTCCGGTGTCCCTTTGCGTCGCAGTCCTGCTGCTCGTGCTGCTGCTGGTCTACCCCTCGCGAGCGCAGGCCGTGTATTCAGCCTGCATCGCCTACTCCTCCCTGCACCTGCTGCTGCTTTTTGCTGCCACGGATCCTGTCTTTACTCACCTCCCACTCCCGCCCTACTGGAAGATCCTTCTATCGCTCCTAGGTGAGTCCTCTTATCACTCTCTTCTCACCTCCGTATCCGCCTTCCCCTGCACCTGCTACTGCTCCGTATCCTGCCGTTCCTCAACTCCCTCTCCCGCCCTTCTGGAAGGCACTGCTATCGCGCCTGGGTGAGTCTTCACATCTCTCTCTCCTCGACTTCCACATCCTCCCTGCACCTGCTGCTGCTTTTTGCTGCCACGGATCCTGCCGTTGCTCACCTCCCTCTCCCGCCCTTATGGACGGCCCTGATTTTACTCTCCTAGGTGAGTTCTCTCCTTGGTGACTTCTCTCATACATCGCTCCTCAGTTTCAGACTGCATCGCGTATTCCTCCCTGTTCCTGCTGCTGCTCTTTGCTTCCGCGGACCCTGCCCTCATTCACGACCCTCTCCTGCCCTACTGGAAAGGCATGCTCTCACATTTGGGAAAGTCTTTTACTCTATATCTTCTCGCCTTCCAAAACCTGCTGTTAGCCCAACACCTTTTCTTGAGCAATCTTCTGCAGTGCAGATTACTCTCTGTAAATAGTGGGGAACTCAACGAACCAGTCTCAAGCCATCAATACCCTCTTCCACCCCTCCCCTTCGTCTCCCCATGGCATAACCCGCATCCAGCACAAGCCATCACCCCTCCAGCATGCATCCTCCTGCTCGCCTATGCCATGGCCCGAGCCCATTCCTCCCTGCAGCAGTCCCTGGTTGCCACGCGTTCTCTCCCCCTCAAGCCGTTTCTGGTGGCTATTTCTGGAGCTGGCTAGACGATTCTTGCACCAACACAGGAATCACCTGTCTGTACCCCCTCTCTCTGTTTCAACCCCTCCTTCCTCTCACCCGATCCCTTGTTCCCCCCCAACCACAGGCATTCCCCCCACCCTCTCGCCAAAGGCCATCACCCCGCCAGCATGCATCCTCCTGCTCGCCTATGCCATGGCCCGCGCCCGTTCCGCCCTGCAGCAGTCCCTTGCTGCCACGTGCTCCCTCCCCCACAAGCCGTTTCTCTGGCGCCTGCTGGAGCTAGCCGCCTGCTGCCCCCCTCCCATGGCGGCTGCTCTCCAGTTAAAGCCGCACCCTGACAGCCTGCTTCTGCCTCCCTGCAAAGGACCTCCCTGTGAGTGCAACAACAATCTGAGTCAGGGCGCGAGATGTGTTATAGCTAGCTGCCTGCCTGCTGCCCTCCCATGGTGGCTGCTCTTCAGCTAAAGCCGCACCCTGACAGCCTGCTTCTGCCTCCCTGCAAAAGACCTCCCTGTGAGTGCAACAACAATCTGAGTCAGGGTGTGATATGCGTTATAGCTAGCTGCCTGCTGCCCACCTCCCATGGCAGCTGCCCTTGAGTTGAGACCACTCCTACAGGGCTGTATCCCTGTCTGGTGTATGCCCCAGCCTTAGCAACGGAGGTCAACACCTATGTCATCCTCACCGCATTCTTCACCATCCTCACCTAATCTCACCCCTCTGCCATCTCTGTATCCCTCCCTCCCTGTCACACTCTCCCAGGGCCGTATCTCTGCTTGGCATATCCCTCGGCCTTAGCAACGGAGGCCAACACCTATCTCATCCTCGCTGCATTCTTCACCATCCTTACCTGCACTCGCCCCTCTGCCGTCTCTCTCGGCTTCCTCCTCCTCCTCATTACCTGGCTCTGGCTCTTCCTCTGGCCCTCCTCCTCCCGAACCTCCTCCCATGCTCAAGACGCCTCTGAGTGGCAGTCATCTTCCCGCGCCTCTGCCTTCCAAACCTCCACCTTCCGAGCCTCAGCGCCAGCTTTTCGAGCCTACATGGCACCATTGACAGCCTCGTTGGCAGCTACAGTGCTCCTGCTTCGGTACTGCAGCCTGTACCCCGAGTTACGGTCCCTCTTAGCCGCCCACTTTGGGATCGATTTGTCTGTTCTGGAGCGGCTTGGGCTGTTTGCCCGGCTGGGCACGCCTGTACACGTGGCAACTGCTGATTGCGCCACGTTGTTGATCTGCCTTCGCGCGTACTTCTGCTTTGAGGCGTTTCCACATGTGCAGCAATGGGTGGAACAGCAGCAGCAGTATCAACAGCAGGAGCATAATTCTCAGTTACACCCAACCAGTCAGCAGGGGGTGCAGGTTTCAGGTGCAGGGGCAGCAGCACCTTCCACAGTCACCCCCCTCTCTGCCCCCCCCACACGTAAACTCCATCTTAGTGCCAAGGGCTCAAAATCCTTCCATTTCCCTCCCCCTGCTGCTGGTTCTGCAGCTGGCGCTGCTGGTGCGATTGATGCTGCTATTGCAGCAGCAGCAGCAGCTCCGGCACCCGAAGCAGATACTGAAACTGGAGGAACAGCAGCAGCAGCAGGGGTAACCACCACTCCACCCCCAGTCATCTCCTGGTCCCGTGATGAATACCCCCTTACAGGCTTCTTCGGTTGGGTGGGCTTCTTCAAACGCCTGCTCATCCTACACTGCCCTACCAGCCTCCCTTGCGCGGCCTTTTTCGCTGCCCTGTATCCGGTCAGCGCCATGGGGTTTGGCTTCCTGCTGCTGGCAGTGCTGGGGTGCCTGAGGCTGAAGGCTATGAGGGGGACGCCTAGGGCGCTGTTCTTGTATGGAGGGGTGGCGCTGGTGATGGAGTTTGGGTTCCAGGTGGTGGTGACGCAGTGGGGCTTGGAGGCTTGGGTGGAGCAACACAGTGCGATTCTCCAGGTGAGTTGTGATTGTGGGGTTCAGGTTTTAAGGCTCAGAGGGTTTAAGGTTGAGCGTTTTGGTTTGGATTTTGGCTTTCAGACGGTGGTAATGTAGTAAGGATTGACACCATGGGTGGAACAACAAAGTGAGACTCTTCAGGTGAGTGGCCGAGAAGGGGGGGTTCAGGGTATAGGGCCCAGGGTTTAGGTTAAGGGGTTTGGAGCTTGGCTTTCAGGCGGCGGTTATGTAGTGAGGATTGACGCCATGGGTGGATCAACAAAGCGCGACTCTTCTGGTGAGTGGCCGAGATTGTGGGAGTTCATGGTTTGGGACTCAGGGTTTAGGTAAAGGGGTTTGGAGCTTGGCATCCAGGTGGCAGCTACACAGTGAGGGTTGGCAGCATGGGTGGAACAACAAAGTGCGACTCTTCTGGTGAGGGACAGTGATCTTTGGTTGAGGCTTTTGGGTTGAGGGTTTAGCGAGATCAGGGTTCCGGGTCAAGGTTAAGGGAGATCAGGGTTCCGGATTCCAGGGTGAGAGCTTCAGGCTCTGCATTTAGGGTTTGGGATTCTGAGTGTAGGGTTTAGAGTTCTGTCTTGAACCTTCTGTCTTATTCCTCCCACCGCCATGTCTCTGCTCCTCTTTCTCAGTGGCTATGCCTTGGCTTATAAGGAGACGGCACCATGGGCACTGCGATACGGGTTTGGGGTTCTGAGTGTAGGCTTTAGAGTTCTGACTTGACCCTCTCTGTCCTGTCCCTCCCTCCCGCATGTCTCTGCTCCTCTTTTTCAGTGGTTAGGACTGGTTTATATAGAGACGGCACCATGGCCACTGTGTTTAGGGTTTGGGTTCGAAGTGTAGGCTTTAGAGTTCTGTCTTGAACCATTCTGTCCTATCCCTCCCACTTCCATGTCTCTGCTCCTCTTTCTCAGTGGCTAGGCCTAGGCTTATATGGAGACGGCACCATGGGCACTTCAGCAGCGGGCCCTATGTGGGCTTTAACGTCTGGATGCACGGCCAAAGCAGTGCTCCTAGCAGCCTGTCTTCTCCACCATGCCTCCTGCCACTGGCTCACCGAACTTCCCTTGGAGCTTCAGACCGATCCTAAGGGCGAGGTTTGCGTGCTGTTTGTGCCTCCTGAAGCTGTGGCTGCGGCTCGGAACGCTGCTTCGGTGCAGATACAGGAGATGGTGCAGAGAGGGGGAGAGGAGGGACGAAGAGAGAGAGGAGCGGGTGGAGTGGGTGGAGTGGGTGGTGTAGGCGGGGCAGGAGGAATAGGGGAAGGAGGAGGAGGGGGGCCAGGGAACGGTAAGGTTGCAGAAGAAGTGGCTAAGACAGAACCTCAAGAGTCGGTGTTGAAATTGGATGAGGTTGCTTCGATTGGCAGGGAGGGCGGAGGAGGCGACGGGGGAAATGAGAAGATGGGGAGGGGCATAAGTGGGGGAGGAGGAGCAGGGGGGACTAGAAGAGCCCACAAGCTGATAAGCTTTCGGTCGTGGAGTGTGGGCGATCTGCGGTCTGCTGATGCGTCCTCCTCAGCCTCCTCCTCCTCTTTCCTTCTTGGAGGGTCGGGGAGGCGAGAGGGGAAGGTGACTGGTGGTGGTAAACCATTGGAACGGCATGACGAGGACCAGGAGAAGGAGGAGGAAACAGTGCAAACCGACAGGGACTCTCATGTGAATGCGAGCTATGAGGGTGATTCAGTGTTTGGTGATGATTACTATGACGGGTATGATGACGAGGAGGAGGACGACGACGAGGAGGACGAGGAGGACCAATCAGAGGAGGCGCAGCGGTATCGGCAGCAGCTGCGGTCGATGTGGTCGTGGGTGCAGAACACAGTGGCCCACTTCTTCTCCCTCTATGGCGTTCAGGTGAGTGATTTGGGAGGGCGTGTGGCAATGTACAGAGGAATACAGGAGGATCGTTGTGGGGCGGTGCCTGCGGTCGATGTGGTCGTGGGTGCAGAACACAGTGGCCCACTTCTTCTCACTCTACGGCGTCCAAGTGGGTGTCGTCGGCCTCTGTCTGCCCTTTCACTCTCAACTCACAGATCGCCCGCCCTACACTCCTTTCTTCGCACTTTGCGGGGCCTCTCCCGCTCTTCTTTCAGGTGGTCGTTCTCTGTCTTCTATTCGCTGGTTTCGCCGTGAAGAACATCGTCTCTCTCCTCTACACTCTAGTCGTCGGCCTCTGCATCGCCCTCCCTCCGTGCCTCAATGCATGATACTGCCCGCCATCCCAACCCATCCCAACCCATTTCATCCCCTTTCATCCCCCCTCCCATTCCCATCAGGTGGTCGTTCTGTGCCTTCTAGTCGCCAGTTTCGCCGTGAAGAACATCGTCTCTCTCCTCTACACTCTAGTCGTCGGCCTCTGCATCGCCCTCCCTTCACGCTTCGTCCGCCTGCTCTGGCCCCTCCTAGTAGCTACCTTCGCTGCAATCACCCTCTGGCAATACTACATGCTCGCCGGCCCCCCTCCCTTGGACAACCCTGCACCCCCTCCCCCCAACAATCCCGCACCTCCCCTCCGAAATTCTCAAGGATTCAACCGCTTCGTGTATACCAGTCACTACGCACCAAAGTCTCCACCACACCAGCCGTTAGAGGAGTTTCCACCTCTGCTGCATCCCCAGCACCCCCACCAGCCATCCAAGCACCCCTTCTTCCAACGCGACAATTCAGAGGGGCCCTATGAGGCCGTTGCCTCAGCGACCCAACTCATTAGAGGCCCTTCAAGGGAATTACATTCCCCTCTAGGCACCAAACGCTCTCTCCTTGGCGTTGACTCGGACTCACCACTACAAGAATATCCATCCGGGCCCGGGGCCGGGCATCTACTAGAGTATCCCCGTAGCAGTCGCCCAGAATCTCTCAATCTCAACCCACTGCGAGCCTATCTCCTAGGGTATCCCCATAACAGCCTCAGTCGCGAATCTCCTGGTTTGTCGCTTTACAAGACGAGCGGATTGTCCCACAGTTTGTTCAGGGGATCTCGCCGCCCCCACCCGCCCAAGTCCCACAGCCGCAACTGCCAGGACTGCTGGCTCAGCACGGATTCCCGTGACTCCACGTGCTGGGACTGCTGGCTGGGTGAGTTGACTGCTGGCTAAGTGAGTTGACTGCTGGCTGGGTGAGTTGACTGCTGGCTAAGTGAGTTGACTGCTGGCTGGGTGAGTTGACTGCTGGCTGGGTGAGTTGACTGCTGGCTACCAGCCACGACACGCCTCTTCCAGCATTGACTGACAATGTCTCTTGCTCTCCATCCCTCCTCTATCATCCCCTGTGTTTCCCCTCTCGCCTTTCCAGGTGGCATCGTGGACGACCGCCGCATCCTCTGTGCCTACTTTGTGGTCTTCCTCCTCTCCTGCTTCCTCCTCTCTCCTTCCTCCTCCTCCGCCCCCTCCTCCTCTTCCTCCTCCCAAATAAACCCGTCCTTCCCACATGATACAGCACCGCACCTCACCCGCTGGACCTCCCTCCCCCCGCCATCCCTCCCGCCTCTCGAAACCCCCCGCCCCATCCCCTCCCCAACGCCCGCCCTCCCTTCCCCCCTCCTCCTTTCCTCTCCTCCTCCTCCTCCTACCTCCCCGCAGACCCGCCCTCCTCCCTTGGCACGACCTGTCAGAAGGCCCCCACCCCAGTTGGACCTGGCTGGACCACTGGCGCTTCCTCTACTACAAGTACCTCCTATGGATTGTCCTGATACTAGTCTTTGCGACCGGGACTCTACAGTACGACCTGCTACACTGCGGCTATCTCGCCTTATCCCTCTTAAGTACACGAAAGCACGCCGCGATTCTCCGCGGGCAAACCACAGTGCTCACCTACCTCCGCGTTTATAACTTTCTGCTGATCACCGCGTCCCTAGTCTACCAGTGCCCGTATTTCCCGTATCTCCCAGCACTGTCGTGTAACCCGTTCAGCATAGTGGGGCTGTATAAGTACGACTACGGGCTCCGGATGGACACGCGCAGTGCGGTGGTGGACCTAACCATGTTCGTGCTCATCACAGTTCTGGCGTACAGCCTGAGATCCGAGATCTTCCAACAAGTTCTCATGTTTACTACGAAGCAGGAGGTAAGACAATTGCAACCCGTTCAGGATAGTGCGGCTGTGTAAGCACGACTATGGGCTCCGGGTAATGGATGGACATGCGGAGTGCGGTGGTGGACCTGACCATGTTCGTGCTTATCACCGTGCTGGCATGCAGCCTGACGTCCGAGATCTTCCAGCAAGTGTTGCTCTTTACCACGAAGCAGGAGGTGCGACAACGGACAAAGGGATATGGAAGGGGGGGTAAGGGGGAAGGATGGACATGCGGAGTCCATCTCTGTTTGTGATGGGCATGCGGAGTCCATCTCTGTTTGTGATGGGCATGCGGAGTCCATCTCTGTTTGTGATGTGCATGCGGGGGTAAGGAGGAAAGGTGGCTGATCTGATTGTGTTTCACAGCCTCATCACTGCGTTGGTTTGGCTCACAGCCTGAAATCACGAATCGCGACGTGAGACGGCAAGTGCTCATTTTGACCGCGAAGCAGGAGGTGAGGCGGCAGAAAAGGGGAGGGGGGGCACCTGAGGGAGGTGCAGCGGATGAAAGACAGCATGCGGCGCCTGCAGAGACACCTGGACTGGATGGACCCCTTGCACTCCAATTCACCTCAGAAGAGCATGACTGAAACCAGATCATCTGCTGCCGCCCCCCGCTCCTTCCCTTCCTGCTCCCCCTGCCCCACTCCCTTCCAAACCTACAGGAGAGAGACAGGCAGCGAGCGGCCGAGATGTTAGCAGCGTGGCAGCGGGAGCACCTGAAGCACCTGCAGCAGGCGGAGGAGCGGCGCAGGCAGCGCAGCGAGGAGGTGCAGCGCATGAAAGACGGCATGCGCCGCCTGCAGCGACACCTCGACCTCCTCAACTCTGGCAGTCCAGGGGGGAGGCGAGGGGTGGAGAGGGGTTGGCGAGTCCAGGGGTGTTTAGACAGGCGCAGCAGCACCAGCAGCAGCTGCTGCAGCTGATGCTGGCAGGAGGGAGAGTGAGGGGAGGAGGGGCAGTGGAGGAGAGGGAGGTGGAGGAGGAGGAGGAGGTGGAGGTGGAGGGGGGTGGGTAGGAGCTGGGGGGAGAGGGGAGGTGGAGGGGGCTGGATGGCTGGTAGATCGGGCTTTAGCTCCCCTTCCACCTGCACCATCTGCTGCTGCAGCTGCTGCTACGACTTTTGCTGCTGCTGCTGCTGCTGCCCATAATACAGACCATCTTCCTCAGTCAGACACAGCAGGTCAACTCCCCCCCACCTCCCTCCTCCCTCCCCCCGGCACTCCCCCCCCCCAACCCACACACTCAAGCACTTTCTCCACTCCTTCCTCCTCCCCACACCCTCATACCCAACCCTCCCCTCCTACGCCTCCTCCTCCCACTCTCTCCCTCCTTCCTCCTCCCCCTTTTTCCCTCCCCCGCTCTACCCCCCTTCCACCACTGCCCCCCAGCTGTACCTCCCCCGGCTGGCCCTTCCCCCATGTTTCCAGGGTTTTCTGACTCTTCCCCCATGCTCCCCTCTGCGTCTACTGGTCCCTCGTTCAATACGGTTATGGGAAGAGCTCGGGCTGCGGCTTTGAGGGCACAGGCCAGCCGGGCAGGGGAGGTATGGAGGGGAGGAGTGGAAGGAGGAGTTGAGGGGCATCAGCAGCTCATTCACTTTCCTCAACCCATACTGCATTGGAACCACCGACAACATCAGTACCACCGTTAGCAATAGCAATACCATCAGCATCAGCAGCAGCAGCAACCGCAGCAGCAGGACCAGTGGAGGGAATTGCGTTCTCGGGCGTTCTCCCTCTCCTCCCCTCCCTCTTCTTCTCCTAGCACCACCGCCACCCACCCTCCCAGCACTGCCAGCACCAGTGCTGCTAACAGCCTATGGAACGGGCGGGCAGGGGGCCTTGTCGGGCGGCGAAGTGGGCGGCTGATTCCGACTGGTATGCAGCAGATGATGGCCAGGGTGGCTCAGATGCAATCGATGGTCATAGCTGGGTTAGAGGATATAACTAGATATGGATTTGGACGGAGGAGGGGAGATTGGTGATGCAGGTTGAGTGCGGTGGGAAGCAGTGGGGGTGGTGGGCCGAGTAGGCTGGATTTGAGTGCGGTGGAGAGCGGTGGGGCGAACGTGGCGGGTGTAGGGAGTGGTGGGATCAGCAGTGCTGATGGTCTTGGTGCCTTGGGAGGGGGTGGTGTGGGTATGGAAGAAGGGAGTGTGAGTGCGAGGACAGGCAGGCAACGCAGCAGTAGCTGTCAGTGGCCCGAGGGGTCTCACCTCATGGTGGGTGATTCTCAGAGGCTAGAGGGATCTCATAGGCTAGAGGGGTCTCAGAGGATAGAGGGATCTCAGAGCTACAGGCAGACTAGGTTGAGCAGAGGATCAGGCAGCGATGCTGCTGCTGCTGCTGGGTTAAGCATAGACACGATAGAGGAAGCCAAGGAGGAAGGCAGATTGGACGTGGACCAGTCAGGCTCTGAGATGACGTGGACAGATCCCAGATCCGAGTATGGCAGCCCGGCACGCCACGTCAGCGATGAGGTGGATGTGTCAGCAGTCGCCGATGCTTTGCCAGCTGTACAGGAAGTAGCGTTTAGCCAATCAGGTGCTGGCTGTGTTCGGAGAGACGGCATGGTGGAGGAGGGAAGAGCAGTTGGGGTTGGGGGAGATTGAGGAGAGAGGGACGGAGGTATGACTGGCGATGGGTTGGGGTCAGGAGTGGCATTGGTGGAGGAACTAGCTGGGGAGGGGCAGAGAGGGTCGAGGGGAGGAGGGCTTGAGTGCGTCTGAGGCTGCTGCTGCTGCCATAGCAGCGGGAGGAGGGGCTGCAAGGAGCAGCAGCCGCGGCTGCAGCTGCTGTTTTAAGTAGGCATGGGCAGAGGGGAACAGCAGGAGAGGGAGACTGGTCCGGCGGAAAAGAGGGGGGAAGAAGAGCAGGAGGACGGAGACTGGGCGGAAGGAATGGGAGAAGGGATGAGAAAAGGGATGAGAGAAGCAACAGGTGGAACACATGCAGAAGGCCCTGCCATTGGTAACACCGTAACCAACGCCACCACCACCACCTCCACCCCCTTCCCCTCCGCCTCCTCCCCCCCTCCCCCATCCGCCGTGCCTTCTCCCGCCTGCGCTGGCTGCTCCAGTCAAACAGCGGACGTGGTAACCGGCGTCTTCATGGTTACCGCCTTCTGCTGGAACCTCTCTCTCTCCACGCTCGTCTTCCCCCTCGCCCTCTTCCTGTACGCCCTCGTCTCCAACCCCTCCCCGGGCCGAGATTCTGGCGGGCTTATGCTCGTGTACTCCGAGATTCTGATTGCCTTGGAGTATCTGTATCAGATCCCGACGCATGACAGCTGTGCCAGCTGGATTGAGGGAATGGGCGGGGGGGAGTGGGGGAAAAGGGAGGGAGGGGGGAGGTCGGGGGCCGGCAACAGGGGGAGGTGCTGTCCCCCCTAGTGGAAGAGGAGGAGGGAGCGGGGGAGGGAAAGGAGGGGCGGGGGGCTTCCTTCAGGGTGGTTTCCAGGGTGGATTGGTGCTGGTGGTGGTGCAGAGGGATGGACCGCCTACTTGCATTTATAGGCATCCGACCGTACCCTAGCTGGTTTGTGTGGAACGTGCTTCCTCTCTTTGCTGTCTACCTAGCCCTGCTGGTCCAAACCTCCATCCGCTACAGGAACAGCCAGTCCAAGGACTCGAGGGACTCTAAGAAACTTGCTGAACCTGAGGAGGAGGTCAGGTTCGGAAGCTTCCAAGCCTCGGGTGGTGGTTCAGGCCAAGCCGGATGTGAGGGGGTGGAAGAGACAGGGGAGAGGGCAGGGGTAGGGAGGCGAGGGGGGCCTGTGCTGAGGAAGGTGGTTTCTGGGGCGGGTTGAAGGGAACTGCGAGGGTGCTTGGTAGACTGGTAGGGGCCAGCCAAGCTGTTCATGTTCATGCTTATGTGGACGATGCTGCTGACATGGATGATGCTGACGTGGAGGCGTCTTCTCCTCTGCTTAGTGGCAATCGTGCGTCCACCTTCCCTCAGACAGCTGGCAATCGCAGCAGCAGCAGCAGTTTTCTACAGAGCAGGTGGAGGAGCAGTAGCAGCAGGAGGAGGGGTGGAGCAGCCCAACAATACAGCAGCAGCAGGAGCGGCAGCGGCAGCGGCAGCAGGAGCGGCGTTGCTGATTCACCTCCACCCCAGCCGCTGTCCTTTTTTAAGCGCTTATGGATTCGGGGGTCATGTAGATTCACTGCAGCTTGGAGGGGATTAATTAGGTCTTAAGAGCTGCTATGGAGGGGTCGGAAGCGCCGCCCCTACTTTGTCCAGGTGGTTCTGTACAACGCGGATGGGTGGACGGCCAATCAGATGATGCCAGGTGTCATTGAGAGAGCGTTCAACTACTTGTTGGTGGCTGCGGATGATGTCGCAGTGCCTGCTGACGTGGCTGTGCCTGCTGATGTGGCAGGTGCCGGACCTGCACAGGGAGGAAGAGTAGGAGGGGTCAACACGGCGACCCGCTTGTTTGGGAATTCCAGAAAGCATGTGCATTTTGAGCCGGAAGGAGCAGCGGTGATGCATGCAGAGAGGTATTCCAGGCAAGGTGTTGAGCAGCAGCAGCAGCAGTTTCAACATGAGACTCAGCATCGGGCTCAGAAGCAACAGCTAGAGCAGCAGGCGCTTGCTTTGCTTCCGTGCGAGTACCAGCAGTTAGTGCGGGTGCACAGTGTAGACGCTGTAGAGTGTGCCAACACCCTTACTGCTTCCGGTGCTGCCCATAGCGTGGCCAGCCCTTCAGCTGCCCATAACAGAGCGCCACTGGAGCCACAGCCACGCTTGAAACCCCAGCAGCAAGTGCAGCAGATACAGCCACAGCCACAGCAGCAGCAGCAGCAATTCCGCAGGGGGCTGCACATCCTGCTGCTGCCTTTTCTCCAACCGCTGCTGCTGCCGATGAAAGCACTCACTATTCCTCGCTCCCTCACTTTCATCCTCACTCACAGCTCCCTGTTACAGACACTCTGGTAGTGGTGCTTGAGGTGGTAACCAACACCACTGCCGCTGCCTCTGCCTCCCCTCCTACCTCCTCTGATACCCCCTCCGACTCCCCAGCTTCTCAATGCACCCCCTCTCAGCCACACACGTGGCATGACACCTGGCAGTCGCTCACACCATCTGCTGACGTGGCAAAGAGGCTCGGGAGGTTCCTGAGCGGTGGGGGAGGCCCGGGAGTGGGGAGGGGGAGGGGTAGCAGGAGGAGAGGAGGGCAGGGGGGGTGTTGAGAGGAGTGGGTGGTGTGGCTGGGGGGGGGATGGGGTAAGGGATGGGGGTGGGCTTGGGGGCGTGGCAGGCAGCAGTAATAGAAGGAGTGAAGGTGCTAATGCCATCTTGGGAAAGGCGTTTGGGTCTCGCTATGTGGAGCTCGCCTCAATTGTTGCAGGTACAGTGTGCTCCTGTCTTGCTCACCTTCCCACTAATTTGCTGCCTTTCCCATCATGTCGCCCCACCATGTCTCCTTAGAAAAGCAATCTCCATTTTTTTGCATTTTCTTCTCCCCAGGCGGTCGGGAGGAGCGGGACCTGTACATCTACATCTTCTGCAACGACATCCTCACTTTTTTCTACATGGGGCTCTCCATATATCTTTCTCTCGCGGGTCCTCTGCACATGCTATATGCAACCTCCTCTGTACATTCTCAACCTAACAGGTGGTCGCAGGGAGCTGGACCTCTACCCCTACGTCTTCTGCATCGACATCCTCGCCTTCTTCTACGTGGGGCTCTTCTACCAGTCTGCAGTGCGCGACAGGTCGCCCTTTGAGGAGGTCATTCACACAGGCGACCAGTTCCCCTACACCTATGTGGCCGTGCTCATGGTACGTTTGAGGAGGGTACTAGTACTGCCCCCTTTCCCCTGCACTATTGTCCTATGTGGGCCGGTGCGTATGGTAAGGTTTGCTATGTGTTGGAATGTGTGGCACTCTGGACTGGAGTCTGCAGTGCACGACAGGTCGCCCTTTGAGGAGGTCGTCCACACGGGCGACCAGTTCCCCTACACCTACGTGGCCGTGCTCATGGCATGTGTTGAGATGTATAGCCCCTCCATGTGGCCGGGCTCATGGTATGTGTTGAGATGTATAGCCCCTCCATGTGGCCGTGCTCATGGTATGTGTTGAGATGTATAGCCCCTCCATGTGGCCGTGCTCATGGTATGTGTTGAGATGTATAGCCCCTCCATGTGGCCGGGCTCATGGCATGTGTTGAGATGTATAGCCCCTCCATGTGGCCGTGCTCGTGGTATGTGTTGAGATGTATAGCCCCTCCATGTGGCCGTGCTCGTGGTATGTGTTGAGATGTATAGCCCCTCCATGTGGCCGTGCTCATGGTATGTGTTGAGATGTATAGCCCCTCCATGTGGCCGTGCTCATGGTATGTGTTGAGATGTATAGCCCCTCCATGTGGCCGTGCTCATGGTATGTGTTGAGATGTATAGCCCCTCCATGTGGCCGGGCTCATGGCATGTGTTGAGATGTATAGCCCCTCCATGTGGCCGTGCTCGTGGTATGTGTTGAGATGTATAGCCCCTCCATGTGGCCGTGCTCGTGGTATGTGTTGAGATGTATAGCCCCTCCATGTGGCCGTGCTCATGGTATGTGTTGAGATGTATAGCCCCTCCATGTGGCCGGGCTCATGGTATGTGTTGAGATGTATAGCCCCTCCATGTGGCCGGGCTCATGGTAAGGCGCGGAGAGATCCCCCATACCTGTGCTCAAGAGAAAGGTCATGGTACGTTCCCCATACCTGTGCTCAAGAGAACGGTCATGGTACGTTCCCCCATACCTGTGCTCAAGAGAACGGTCATGGTACGTTCCCCCATACCTGTGCTCAAGAGAACGGTCTAAGGGATGGCAGGATAGCATCGCCTGCCCCTTCTAGTCCCTTGTACTTGATGGTCTTGTTTGAACACCATCACAACCAAGCAACAATTCCAAGACCGCCCCAAAATCTTCCTCACGAGAGCGCCACGCTTAACCCCGATCCTCAGTCTTCCAACACCTCAATTCCTCCTCATATCCACCTGGTATTTTTGAGAATCCTCAAAAATACCCTGCAACCTCATTTTCCTCCTCCTCAATATCCTCCTGGCCCGATCATCGAGCTCGTCTTTCAAGGTCAATGGATGTCTAGTTTTGAGGCGCCTCAAAAGTACGTCAACTAAGTCCATCCCTCCTCAACCCCCAATCCCCATTATAGACAGACCCAGTTCTTCCTGATAGTGATAAACCGCATTCTCTACCTGGTGTCCAGCGGCCCCCTGCGCATGCTCTACCACTTGTGCAGCCTTTCATTACCCCCCTTCCCCTCCCCCCCACACCTAATCCCCGTTATAAACAGACCCAGTTTTTCCTGATAGTGATCAACCGGATTCTCTACCTGGTGTTCAGCGGCCCCCTGCGCGTGCTCTACCACCTGGCCTCCCTCCTCCTACACCTCGGCTACCCCATGCTGCTCTTCTGGAACGCCAACCTCATCGCCTCGCACAACACCATCCGGGCCTACCTGGCGATCAAATCCATCTCCCTCGCGCTCTCAGCGCTCCAGCTGAAGTACGGGCCGCCTGGGCCGGCGTCGAAGGCCTCGCCGTTCCTGACCCGGAGGGCGACGTGGCT